AGTGTTATTTTGTTTTATTTTCGTTTATTTTATTCTTAATTTTTCTTTGATTATTTTTTATATTGAAATATTTTACATAATTTTAATTCAAAAAACTACAATAAAAAAAAATTACCACATTCACACACATACATACGCACATACGAAATGGACCGATATTAGCGTTTGCATACATATATTCACATTTCAACSAAAATTCAAAATCAATTTGAATTCTTTTTTTTTTTTTTTGATAACAGCTACTAATAATATTCTAACGAAGGGAAGCGAAGGAAGAAAAAAACCAAGAATGGGCAGCGAATGAGATAATAAGCCGAAGAGCACCGAATTACGAAAGGATAAAATTATAAAATATATATAATTTACAATAATTAAACATTTAAAATTATTCAGTGTTATAGCTTTTAAGTTTTAAAGGATAATTTCTAAAAATTATAAGTTCAAACTTGTAAATATAGAGCATCATGTAGAAGATATGCCAAAATCATAATAAAATTGATAATAATTTTCAAATCAATGTCCAAAGACCAATGTCTTTCATAATCAACAAAAAAATAAATTTTAAAAAAATTCTGAATATTTTGGTATGGTTGCGAATTATATAAGTAAAAAATTATTACTTTTTTAAGGATTTGGATTTATATAAAACTAAAAGAATATTATTTTTTAGGAATTTGCGTATCTACATAAACAAAAATTTCAAAAGAAAAGTTTTTCTAACTCCAAAAAACACTTTGTATGTTTCTATATTTATAGCTTTTGGCCCCACCATCTAACACACTGACACAAATACACTCAAGTGTACACACATATGCCACAACAACTTGCCCACTGGAGAGATAAGCCACTTGCCTGCAACTCCATCAATCTGCGCTGCCCCACAAGCAAAGCTGTTGCGTCGGCCATTTGAATATTTTTAAAAATGAAATTGTTCTTGGTGTAATTAAATTTGCAAATTTCATTTCAATTTGTATTGTTTTTCAATTAAAAAATATATAATATATATATCGTAGTATATTGTATGTTTATGATACTAAAAAAAAATATATATATATATATAGTATATGTATATTTAAGTAATATTTCTAAAATAAATAAAAATACACAAAGTGTTTTGTATCGAATTGTACATAAGGTATTTAGTTGATGAGCATGTGTGTGTGAGTTGTATGCAGATGTGCGCATAGGGAGAAGGCGGGGCGCTTGTGTTCGATTGTAACGCAGATGGGAGCAAAAGGGAGAGTGAGAGTGTATGGTGAATGAATGGCTGTGAGGGGTGTGAGAGTAAGGTGTGATTAAGAGATAAGATAWCTATTTAGATGGAAAACGAAAAAGAGTGACATGACATCGACGCAGTGGCGCACTAATTTAAATGGTTAACATAAGAAATAAAGTGTGAAATTGTAGAATATTGTTGTTGTAATTAAGATATTTAATATTGCTGCTATTGTTGTTGCTAGCATATGCCGCACGTGTGGTTGGCTTCTCGCTCCCGCAGCCGAAATCATAGTTTTGCTGCTTTCTGCGCCCATGCACATCAGCTCCGTGCCGTCCGAGCTCGCTGGTTGTCTGCCTTTCGCCCAACCGCCCGCCCGCCCACTAATTATAACTGCAGTGCCAGTGTTGCAAACGTAAACGCAACTGTTTCCAAAGTAATAAAAAATAATGATGCGTTTGTGTGCGCACTGCTCGAACCAACTACTAAATCTTATTGCTGCCGCTACCGCTATTGTTGTTAGTTGTTATTGTTGTACTATTTGTTGCGCTGACCGTTGCGGCGATGACATTTATATTGCTGCTACCGCTACCGCTGCCACTGCTGTTAYTGTTGTTGTTACTTTGGTCTGGGCGTGCGCTATATTTGGGATTTGTTGGCATAACGGTGTCGGTGACGAGATCATTGGGCGCCTCCAGAACGCCCTTGGCGTGCGCCGCTGCCGTATCACAATCGGTGCGGCGTGAGATCAACAAGCGTATATCGGTGTGCAGTGAGAGGCGACCCGAGCGCGACGTTTGGAATCTGCAAAGTGTTCGACAGAGAGAGAATGTAGCACAAGTGTGGAAGAGACTGGTTTAACGCTGGTTGCCAATAATGCGCAAACTTTTCGAGTACGAAAAGTCAATTTAGATTAAAAAAAAATCCAATTTTTTGGCCCTAAATTTGTGTTTTTGTAGGTTACATTAAATAAGCGCTCTTACCTTAAATGTATRGAATAACGTAGCCGTTTCATATTCTCCGCGGATATGAAGTGTCCGAGATTGCTTTCGCCGTGCAGGCCACCGCTTGGTGAGAGACGATACTTATTTTTGGCATTATTGTTGTTATTACCGTTATTATTACTCTGATAGCATTCGTTATTGTTATTGTTTAAGCTTAAATTGTCGTCGCCACCAGCAACAGCGCAACCACCAGCACTACGTCCACTGCTGCCGTAGCCGTTTGTCGTGCTCGTCTGTACATTTTGCGTCGTCGCTGCTTCATGCGTGCTGGCTTCGGCCAGTATGCGTTGCCTTATGAATGTTTGATGCAGTGGCGGCATGTCGCGCATATCGTACGGTATGACGAACATACGCACCACGGTGCCCATGGGATTCAGCAGTGTGGCTTGTACATTGCCAGCACGAGGTACCGAGTAGCCCTTGCGTGGCAGGCGTATTTCGCACTGAAATGGAGAGTGATGAATTTATGTTAACGGATTTTAATGCCCATTATAATATTTATATCAGCAATTTTAATATTTTTTTTTTAATATAGACAAATATCAAATGAAAATAACAAAAATATCATATTTATCTACTTTACGAATTYTGATTTCCCTTCCTTCCCTGCTGTTGCTTTGTCAAATACCCCATTTCGCCCCAATTCAACAACTCACCACATAAGGCGTACTCAGCGACTCGCCATGCAATTCATAGAAGTATGAAACGGCCGGTATTGTCAGCTGYGTGGGACAGAAGCCACCCGATGCACCTAACAACACCGTAAAACCCATCACTTCCACCTTGGGCATTAGACGCTTTTGCAACAGCGACTCTTCCAGATTGCCAAGCAACGGTTGGCGACCGAAAGCCGCTGCGACGCGTGCACTCTGTTTCAGCGGCGATGTGGCTGGACTATACATGCCAGCACTTTCTAAATCCTCATCGGAGAATTGTTCATCTGAGCCGAGCGACGAACGGTCGGAGCGATCGGATAAATGGCGTGAACGACGCTTATAGATGGCCGCCTGTTTGGCGAAACGCGGCGACAGTGATGGCGAATTGGGTAGCGTGGGTGCCGAGTATGACTTTTGTACAGGTATATTATTGACTTCAGTGGTGAGTGGTGAGGCACAAACGTTACCGCTGCTGGAATGCATTAGCTGATGATGTAGCTGCAAATGATTGCCGCTGCGATTCAGCGCTGTCGGCTCAAAGCAAAATGTAATCTCATTTGTAGCACCACCATGTATGGGTATTGGCGACGACTGGCTGCTCGTGATGCTGCCACCCGTTGGCGATGGCATTGGATTGCAAAATATTGGTGTGAGGTTCACTTTGGGTAGACCCTTACGCAGCAACAACGCATTGTGACCGCCATGTTGTTGCGTTTCCTTGTGYGGCTTGAGTGATGTGGGCAATTCGCTGTTGTTGGCACGCATGACAGCAAAACCATCGCCTGACGCACCAACTGTCTGATTGCCACCAGCACTCACATCGCCGTGATAATTGCAATGCAATTGTAATAAGTTAGGTTTAGGCGTCTGTTTGTGCTGGAATGCCTTGTGTACGCCCTGCTGGTGTTGTTGCGTTTGCAGCTGTGGTGAATTGTCGTAATTAACGCCGCCACTCGTAGTTGTTGTGGGTGTTTTAAACTGTGATTCGTCGAAGTGTTCGTCATCCATTAATGTTGTGATGATCGGTGGCGTGTGGTTCTCACTGCGATCGCAGCCGTCGACTTGCTGATCACCACCGGCGCGATCGCCTCTCGTCAATAGCGGATAACGCGTAGAGTTTGTGGCGTTGGAAASTGTGCAACGGTCGATTTGTGGTGTGAGTTTGGTGGATGACATAAAGGATTCCTGCAAAATGCGCATATAACAGTTATTAATATACATAAGCACATTCAAATGTAAAAATAAAGTTCGTATACATACCTCTTCCATGATTTGTGTGCGTGTTGGTAGCGCTGTTAGTGGCGTCACCGGCAGCTGACTTCCGTCGGTTCCTTCCGCAACGAATTGAATAACCTCGCGCTTCTTCCCACCATCATCGTCGGTGTCATCACCAATATCGTCATTGTCAGCCTCATCAGCTAAATGCGYATTAGTTGTSGTCGTTGCTTCTTCACTATTGCTATTGCCAAAGTTATGCTGTGTCTTCTGGCGCTTGCAAACTTGACAACCCGACAGCGTATTCTCGTGCAAGCTGCTGCCACTGCTCTTMCCACCYACATCACCACTGAGGTGATTGTTGTTTTGCGTCTTGCCACCGCACAGTTTGCGCGGCTGTTCCTTCTTGTGCTTGGCTGCGGCCACTTTGGGTGTGCGCTGTATGGCTTGCAATAGCAGTTCGGCTTTGTTGCGTGGCGTATGTATGATTTCGCTGCTGCTAATGCTTGACGCTGTSGAGTCGTCCATATCGTCTACATCCTGTTCGGTGGGTTCATCTATGGCTTGTTCGCCGCGCATGACGCCGGCACTCGAGCAACGCATACAAACGAGTGTCTTTTCRCAGCCGCATTGACGACAACAACTCATAGGTGTCTGTGTGCCCGTTGAGATCATTTCGATGCGCGTGCTGGTGCGCGGTAGCAACGTTTTTATTGTRTCACTGCTATGACCCGTCACATCATCTTCGTCACCCTCCTCCATCGGTTGGCAGCAGTTCGCCTCTTCACGCGCTTTCTGCGCACGCTCAAGCTCATCGGTGGCATCCAGTTCGCATGTTGCATCCGTGTTTGTCGGATGCGGCTTGCGTGGATGGTGTTGATGATGATGCTTCTTGTCGCGTTTCAGCATGCGTTTGCGGTACTTCATTAGCTGCTTTTCACGATGTGACATATTAGCACCGGTGCAAAAAGCGCTTGCATGGGTTAAGCTATCGCCAGTGYTATTCGCTGTATCGCTAGGGTTATCATCCTCATCGCCGTATGCCTCACCGTCAGCTTCGTCGACTGGCAGTAGCTCATCTTCATCGATGAAAAATACACATTTGTGTTGCGGCGCACAGTTGGCGCGGCTGCATAGCATGCTGCTGTCCTGTGTGTCAACGCAGTCGTTTCGGGGCTTCGAGCTGGCACCGTTTGAGACGGCGGCCGAGTTTGCCCTTGAATTGGTCGAACTACTATTAGAATGTAAATTTATGCTGGCATAGYTGGATGTTGAAGTTGGCGCAGCAACCGTAACTGTCGTGGCAATGCCACAACAACTTGTACGGCTGCTACGTGGCGTATCCTGGGACTTTACACCAGCACAACTGTTGCCGTTACGAAATGAGCTGGGTTCACTTCTATTGATATTGGTGCTGCCATTGGATGTTGAGAGCCATTGCGGTGCTTCCGCTATAGCTGCCATACGTGGTGTAGAATTGGACATGCCACCACCTCCTAGTGTGGCTGTTGTTGTCGGCACTGTTGCTTTTGTTGTTTTAGTTTTAGTTGTTGTCGCTTTGGTTGTTGCCGTTGCTRGCATTGTTTTTGGTGCTGCTACGGTTGTGGATGTTATCGTTGTTGTTGGCGTTGACATTGTTGTTGTTGTTGTTCCCGGTGTGGATAACATAAGTGTACCGATTTTCGGTATGCCGCCGTTGATACGTGGAAGACTTTTGAGACAAACCGATATGCTACAATTCTCCGAAATATTGACATTCGGAAAATTGTGTACATTCGGTTTTGAATTAAAGCAGGCAGTGGAGTCAAATGACTTGATGCGGTAGAATATATTAAGGCGCGGTCGTCGATTCASCGACAGCGCATTATTGAGCTGATTATTAAGCGTATGTGAATTCGGCGATGTGCCTGGTGTGCTGTTGCTGCCGCCAGTGGTGCTGCCCACCGGTGTGGCCAGATCACCGGCAGCTCCTGTCGGTGTGTGAAATATTACACGACCCGTGTCATATATAGTTTTATCCGATTTCTTGATCAGATCACACCAGGCACTGATTTGGGAAAAATACAATTGGCTGCGTATTGCACTGCAGAGTGACGGTAGCGTCATGGTGGGCGGTGGAACTCTAGTTGAAGGGAGGAAGAAGAAAAGAATTAAGTTAATACGGGTAATGTAGAATATATTAGAGTCCTTTGGACAAATATATATGCATTGGTGGATATGTACGGTGATTATTAATTCTTACAAGATTATTCTTTAAAAAAGTTTGAAAGCTGGATAGTCTTAATAATGTTATTAACTTTGAGGTAAATCAATTAATAAATCGTATTAATGCACAAATATTCTTACAATTGTAAAATTATTAAGAAATTAATTGATTTTAACTGGCTAAAACGCCKCTGGGTAATTTTGGTCAACAGTTTCTTATAAAAGAACAGCATAAAACGTATTTCGATCGAATTTTTGATTACTTACTTTTCTTTTTGGGTTATGATCCATTGTTCGAGCAGCATTTTATGGTTCACCGGTCCTAAGAAAACCTCTATGCAAACCGGTTCGCCACGTGCGATAATCGCCTCCATTCTATGGCAGTACGCTCGCCAGCGGGAGCACTAAAAATAATAAAACACAAAAAAAGATTTATTAAAAAGAAATAAACGGTTGTATTTAAGATATTTTGCATCACTTCCTCCTACTTACAGTTATATTTACGTATGACATATCACAGAAATGATCCTCAGCTTCAGCGGCCTCTCCTTTCGCCAGGCCCATCTTTCTGAGGAATTGATCACAGTGCGGTCCCTGTTGCGGGTGCTTGGACGCTGTTGTCGGCTTCACTTTCGTTGTGTGATATATTGTTGTTGCAGCAGTCATTGCCACCGATGCTGTTGTTGTATTMACAGCTGTGCCTGGTATTGGTATACGTCCCGAGCCAAAATGTGTTGCCGACGCATGTCGCATATAACGCTCTTTTGTATTCAAGTTATCGGTGACGGAAGACCAATGTGGGCGTGGCGATTGCACACCACTGCCGCAACTGCTACCCGAGCCGGGTTGTTCGTGAAAGCGATGCGCTGTGGCAGACGCTGAGGCGGTCGGTGTGGTGGCACGGTAATTGTACATTGASTGTGGTGGCGGTGGTGAGGAGAGCGTCGCAAAACGAAAGCCACTCGTTGTACCCGTCGAACTGTTCGCATTCATACCACCATGATTCGGCTCTATTGAGGGGCTGCCACTGCGCAGGCAGGTGGTCGCCAACGATTGCAAWGAGAGCAAAAAATTCTCAGAACCTGAACCCGGTGAAGAGCTGGCACTGCCCGCACCGGCACTGCTGCCCGCGACTGCTGTCGACGWCGCTGCACTGCTTATTGCATTCAAATTTGTGCGATTAAGTAAACTGCGACGTACGATCTCGAATTCACCGCGATCATTAGCACCGGATTCATTGATAGCAAGCGCGACTAGCTCGGGTTCACGTGCCTCCACCGCTACGGGTTGTTCGTAGGTCGTACTTAGGTTGGCTGCCGGCGAGACCTGTCGCAGCTGGCACAGTTTCTGTGTCCAACGTTGATGTGTACTTTCCGCCGTAGAAGACGCAGATCCCGAACTGTTTGCGCTGTACGGATCAATGTAGAGTGGCGACGAGTCGCGTACATGTGCAGCACTCATACCACTATTATTAAAGGCATACGGATTCGTTGTTATATTGATCACATGTCCACTGCCAACACYGCCACCAAAGCCGGCGGCAGCACGAGATGTCGATGGGCGAGATGTRGGCGATTGACGTCCACTGCCGATAGCAGTGCCACTCCCACTAATCCCGTATGAAGTGTTCRCAAGCAGACTGTTGGTGTTGTAATTATGTAAATTACTGCCGACACTACTGCCGCTAACACTACCAATGCCKCCGCCATGCCCACTCCCACTAAGGCCGCTGGTATCACTGACTGTGCCGGCAGTGGTACGCATCATTTGTGGTTGATATTCATCGTCGGCTAAAGCGCGTCCCTCTAATATTAAAGASGCTAGTCCTAATAAAACCGATGGCATTTGGGCAGAAGCTGGTGAGGTGGCAGTGGACGACACCGAATTGGCGGTTGGCGTCGTTGACAACAACATGTTCAACTGTCCATTGTTATTACTTGTACTGTGGTTATTGCCGGTGGTACCGCTAACCGTTGAGGTGGATGTGGAACTACTGACTGTGGTTGGTATCATTTTGGCTGATTGAATTGAACTGCAATAAAAGAAGAAATCATTCCATTATTGAATGTTGAAAATTAACTTTTAAACTAAGTAAAGTATTAGTTAGCATTGGAAAAAATATCAATTATTTTCTATTTCCAGCGACAGCTATTAGCTGAATAAGTATTATACGATTCATCTTGTAGTGTAACACTACATACTATCGATTGGCATACGGGTACAGTTCTAGAAAACATGTCATAGAACGACGCAATAGCTAGACTCTTAGGCATTGAGTAGAAGAAACTTATTTCCTTATAGGGTAGGAGTAGTCGTATATAAAAAAAAAWGATTGTTTTATATTTTCTTAAAGCTTAATATCTTATATCCTCTATTCCGCAATGTCTGAATAAAGATCGGGAAGGATTTCTCCAAGCGGTTCGATAACAAGCRAGGTTTTAGTCAAAGCGCTAACTATCGTGTGACTTCTTCAATCTACTTCTATAGAAAATAATTCGAGCATTAGAGTTAAATAGAGATGATAAAATCTTCAATAAGAGTCGACGATATTGATATCATTGGTGTCAACAACCGTGCCGGCAAGACGAAAAATCTCTTGTCATGAAACAAACAGATGTCGCGACTAGGCTCCCACGTCATTGTTGATGGGTCGACGTTACGAGTTTTCGAGTGAAAGTTTCTACGGTTAAATCTTCCGCATTCCTTTGCGCATTCAACGCTGTCTCAGTTCAGCGAATGAAGAGACAGCGGATGCGCCGGCTACTCTGAGAGTATTCGACGCAGTACCCACCGGGGGCATAGGACGAGGAGGAAGATCTCTACTCCATTGGAAAGACCAGGTGGAAAAGGACCTGCTACACTTAAAACATCTAATTGTCGTCAAACAGCGAGAGATAAGAAATACTGACGCGCTTTTGTAAACTCGGCTATAACCGCGTAAGCAGTATCTACGTCAATAGAGAAGAAAATAATATCTTAGATTAGATTAGATTTGAATATGAGGAATGCACCGCGACCTTAGGTCTATTGTGCCCTCTCCTAACTCACATCGACTCACTTAGCCCCAGCGCACCGATGAAGTCCAGTAGCCTGCCCGGTGCTAGTGAGGCGATGCGATCCCTATCCGGCAACATTGATCCAAGGGCCTTGAACCTACGTCTGCAGACTGCTGTACAGTCGATCAGCAGGTGTTCGGGAGTTTCAGGCTCCCTGTCGCAGAACCGGCAGTTAGCGCAGGCGGATAGGCCCACGTTGTATAGGTGCCTATTCAGCCTGCAATCACCAGTGTACCATGCGACCAGCAGCCTGAGTTTGTTCCTGGGGAGGTTAATCATAACTTTGAACCTACTTAGGTTGTATCCTCCAATAAGCAGCTTGGCATGCCTCAAACAGGGAAATGTCTCGAAATGTATGACCCTTTTGTTATCAATTTCACAAAATTACATGCTATTCACCTAAGTAGAATACGGGRACATGTTTATTGATGTAATTGCCACAAAATATGGCACGTACATATGTATGTATACTTTACTTTTATTTTATATGATATGAGGGCATCATAACCTAAAATCTCAATTAGCGTCGAGAATTTTATAAATTGGAAACTTTGCTTGCTTTTGTGTTCCTCCATTAGCGATAATTCAGCTTTTGAAAAGCAACAGAAAATATGTACTTTATAATTGACAAGTACCTATCAGCGTGTTATATTTGAGTTGTTGTTACTTGAGTGTCTTCATAAGCTGATGGGTTGACTGGGCGCGGAGATGGAAATGAGCGCAATTTTTTCGTAAGTGACCTCGCAGATGCAAATTAAAGTGGATAACTTAAAAACGCATGGAAAGCTGTAACTATATATATATAACTGTAAATATATACATAAGTATGGAAACATAGGTGTGTGGACGCATATAGAGGCATATATCATAAATGTTAGTTGTAGTGATTTGATGTTCAAGCATAAACTGGGTCAGGGTCCAACTGCATATAATGCAAATTCAAAGGCGTGCGAGTACATACATATGTGTATATACATAAATATATATATATGTATACATAGCATCTAGATGCACATATGTATGTATCAATATATACATACTATGTAGAGGCATGCATAACGAGATCTGTGGCATAGCAACAGTTGCCAAATATGTTGAGACCCACATAGGAACACACACATACATATATATATCTATATATCGATATATGTATTCATGTRTGAACTTGTTTAACTGTGCTTGCAACGGTGTCATGCTGTGGGCGCCTGAAAGCCCCTGCAGGCAATCACAGAGCGCATTTTGTCAAGTACAAGGATTTTGTTGAGTTGGAAAAGAAATACATACATACACATGTCCACACACACACAAATTGTAAGTGCTCACATACATACAAATGCATTTGTTGCTCTACTTTCATGTACATACCACCCCTGATGTCGTGTCAAAAAAGTGGGAGGCTATCTGGCAACAACAAAACCAAAAAAAGTAGAACACTCTGCTTATTGTTGTTGTAGTTGCTATACTTTTATCACTTTCACTTTTCAACCCGATTTTTATATGAATACTCATATATATGTACTGGGTAGCAAACTATAACGAGGTCATGACAACAATAGGAAAATGGCAATATGTAACAACAACAATAAACAACTTGCGTTGCAATTTCCGCAATATGAAGGCTTACATTTCCCACATACACACATACACACATATATACCTCGTTACACCAGTTCTGGAGGCCGAAGGATACGGATGCGGATGCAGATACGGATACGGATGTGTAAGCAACATATGCAGACCTACATAAATCAGGGCACATACTATTTGTTAGTGTAACGYCAGTAAATCAGGTCAATTTATAGTTAACGAACGAAGTGAAAACTTAAATGGCACAGCATAGTCGTAAGTGGGTCAAAATTGGCGCACAATGGCGACCGCACAGGAACAATGTGTTGATCTAAATTATTGCTCTTGATGGACGACATTTGATTGAAATTAATTATGTGCACATAATAGAAGTAGRTAAAATGTAAATGTTATTTAGTTTTACTTATTAAGTTTTTCATGGATCTTTTCCTCTTTAACATTGAAAATATTTAAGAAGTTGCCTTCCTAGATTCATACCGTAAGCATGYCCGATGATTGGAGTTTAAGTGAGCTCTGCCCAAACCAGAAAAATGGAGACCCTATAAGCCGACTACCGTGAGATAAGCATCTTCAACATCGCATATAAAGTTMTATCGAGCGTACTGTGTGGAAGATTAAAGTCCACCGTCAACAAATTGATTGGACTTTGGCTTTTGGCATGGAAAATGAAMAAATGACTATATATTCACCATGYGCCAAATCTAGGGAAAAAACCGTGAAATGAGGATCGACACACTCCACCCTTTCGACGATTTTAAAACTGGTGTGAACTGATGTTGAACAATACCAAAAGCTCTGTCAGGATCGGGAAGAACCTCTCCGGGCCATWCGATATCAAACGAGGTTTCAGACAAGGCAACTTCCTATCGATAATAATTCGAGCTGCTGAGCTGAATAGAGAAGTTACAATCTTCTATAAGAGTGTACAGCTGCTGGCGTACGACGATTACATCTATATTATTGACCATAACAACCGTGACGTTAGTTCTGCATTCTCCAGATTGAGCGAAGCAAATGAGTCTCGTAGTGAACGAAGCCAAGACGAAATGTCTCCTGTCATCAAACAAATGAGAAGTAGAGTCCTCCAAATTTATTACCAAAGTTATATAACCGATATAATTGTTCAGCACTCGGTAACTTGCGCAATTAAGGATCGGTTTCGCACCACATTTACTCTAATGTACAATACGCATTCTGAGAGATACCACTCAGTGATCACCGAAAGCTTTATTACTGCTGTGGAGCAGATTATCGCAGAAGGCCCAAATCAGTTCATCTGCCATCTTATGCAATGATTTTACGGAAGGACCTTTCTTTATTTACGAAGAGTCAAGATTGAAGCTGAATGTGCGAGAATTGTCACATTTGAAGTGTTGATAGTCCACAAGCCGACAAGATTACATATTCGAAAAAGTCGCTGTATGGTGCGCTGTACGGGCAGAGGGAATCATTGGTTCGCATTTCTTCAAAAATAAAGCCGATCAAAATATTAGAGTCAACGCTATAGATTTCGTGCCTTAATTAGAGAATATAGATGGGGACGACCTTTGATTCCAACTGGCCGGCGCTGCATGCCATACAACCAGCGAAGTAATCAATTTATTGAAGAAAACTTTTCGGTCGTGGGCCTCTGTCGTGCGATTTAACATTGCTGCATGATTTTTTGTGTGGTTATGAGAAGTTCCCTGGTATTTATTCGCGCAGTTAGAGAAAAATACTTCAAAGTTGAACAAGTGGACGTTGAGAGATAAAAAGACTCGTGAATATAGAAGTATGAGAAAATATATTGAACGATCGAAGAAAAAAATCATTAGAAGAAGAGTTCAGGCTGCATTTTGGATGAGCTGTTGCAATCTATTAAAAAATAACATTTGTCCACATTTCCAATATTTATTTAAATATTGTAGGTAAAAATAGCTGTTAAAAAAGACTCTAGTCATATAAATATGTATCATGTAAATATATATGTATATATGTATTCATGTATATATGTATATTGTATGTGTACAAATAGTGACGTGTATATTATGCAACATTTCAACAGGTCAAGTTATGTGCATCTAAAAATAAGATATTCATAATTTTTTCTTGTTGTTGCAGTCAAATATGTGGGTGACCTACTGCTCYAGTTGCAACAACGAGTTGCACAATAAAGTTTGAATATGTGCACAAAAYTATATATGGACAGATATATGCAGGCACATTAGAAGATATTTATGATTGTGTATTCATGGCTGCATGCCACTTATTTCCGAGGGGGGCTGACCCAATTCGCCTGGCATGAAAGCARACTGAGCGATGGCGAAATATTGATTTTCGCAAAATTGCCTGGAATTTCGGATACATAAACATTAAACGAAAGACAGTGAAAGTACGCAGATATATATAT